CAGAGTTTTTTCGGTTTAAACGGCATTGTACAGGGTTTTTTTGACCGTTTTCCCCATTTTTATTATCAAACAACTTATGTGCGTCACCCAACAATATTTCAGAATGGAGGAGATGGTTCACTTACTCTAGCAGGTAACAATCTTAGGATTTGTTTTCTTTTTCTTTTTCTAATTTATATAATATATGATAAGATCAAACGAGATTATCTCTGACTGTGTAATTTATTCGTATGTCATTTTAAATTTGTGTTAAGAATATCCGAAAGCATGTGATGTCCGATGTTCGGCAGCATTTTACCAAGAATCATGTCTGTTCTACTGCAAGATATGTTGTGAGAAATGTTTGTGTGTACCATCGGGAACGTATGGACACAAAGAAGAATGCCCTTGCTATAATAATTGGACGACCCCAAAAGGTGGACCAAAGTGTCCATGATCGCAAAAAATTAAGGACCAAAAATATCCATATTTTGTTTCCTCTTCACAAATCTTTGTATTTGGCCATGCTTATTTTGATATATAGAATAGAAAACGAAGTCTTATTCCATTGCAAAACTAAACTTGTATGGGACACATAAATTTTAAGGAAAATGGGCTCCAATAATCCTATAATTGCAATTAATTTAATAATTTACGACTAAACATAAGTTATCTGTGATTTTATCCTAACACCTTCATTGAATTATTTTCAAGTTCATGGAGAGTATGCATAATTTGAAGTATATAAATGTCATTTTTGCGGCGGACACTACTGAAGTGATTAAATCTTTGGTTAAGCCTCATGAATGGCCGGCTTTAACTTTGAAAATTGACAGGATTGTGGAATGATTGGAAAGTCATAACGAATGGAGTGTTACATACGAAATCCCTTTAGCCAATAAGGATGCGTTTGATATCGCTCAAAGTGTTATAAAAGATGGAAGAACACAATCATATGTTGCTAGAGGCTCCCTGAGGTGGCTCGAATCAGTGTTTGTACGAGATTAAGTGAGGAGATGATCGGATGACTCATGCTCTGTTTTTTAAAAACTGGTGATTTGATGATTCTG